GTCCACAGACCAGATGGGTGGCATCAGTACCTACTGAGAAATGGTTACAATTACAGGATCTCTGAGCCCCACCTATGTCCTGCCAAATCAGAGTCCGAATTTCAACAGGATCCCCAAGTGATTCATAAATACATTAATGTTGGAGAAGTTCTGGTCTAGAGTGGTGTTTCTCAACTTCTCCACAGTTGACACTGTGCTAGATAATTCTCTGTGGTGGGGGCTGTCCTGTGCATTATATGATATGGGGCACCATCCCTGTCCTCAACCCACTAGGTGCCAGTGGCACCTCCCTAGTTACGACAATCAAAACTTTCTCCCTTATCTTGTCAAGTGTTCTCTGAAGGCAAAATCACCCTTGGTTGAGAGCCACTGACCTAGCACATGAGAACTGGAAATATCTTGGTCGATTTACAGTCAAAGCTCCTTCCTCCCTCAGTTCACAACTCTGAGTAGTTCCTGCCACACTTCTGAGCCCCACTGTTACAACTGTACTTTAATAAGTGTGGACTTTTCAGGGTGCCTGGCTGGCTCAGTCAGTTAAGTGTCCAACTTTGGCTCAGGTCATGATCTCACGGTTCATGGTTTCCAGCCTCACATCTGGCTCTGTACTGACAGCTCAGAGCCTGGAGTCTGCTTCGGATTCTGTGTCTCCCTCTCTCTCTGCCCTTCCCCCATTAGTGCTCTGTATCTCTTTGTCTCTCAAAAATGAATAAAAACATTAAAAATTTTTTAAAAATAAGTGTGAACTTTTCTTTAATTCTACATATGAATGAAATGATATGATATTTGTCTTTCTCTGCCTGACTTATTTTTCTCAACATATTACAGTCTAGCTCAACTCACATGGGTGGGGAGAGAAGAGAGGGAAACAAACAACAAGAAAATCTTAACTTTAAAGAACAAATGAGGATTGATTGAGGCAGGTGGGTGGGGATGGGCTAGAGGGTGATGAGGATGAAGGAGAACACTTTAGGATGAGCACTGGGTGTTGTATGTAAGTGATGAATCACCGAATTCTACTCCTGAAACCAATATTACACTGTATGTGAACTAACAAAAATTTAGATTAAAAAAAAAAGAGTGGGCTTTTGTAAAAATGAAATAAGGCAATCCACACAGAAGTCTAAGATCAGTGTATGGTACATAACATGATCTAAATATATCTTATAAGTAACGAGCTTTTTCATCTGGGACACTAGATGGAAGTTCTCAATTTGTGTTACCAGCATGACTCACCTTACTGATTAGTCAAAAACATCATGAACACAAGAGCACGGTACCCATAGGCTTATAGCAAATTAACATACCTCTCTCTCTTGTTGAGAGGAGAATAGCAATTTTCTAGAGAAACCAGGAAGTCTTTTCTGCCATTAAGACAATACTTTGGAGGTCCATGAGACCTGGTTAGGCAGGTCCCTCGGTCTTAGATTTGGAGAAAACGTTAACTCAAAAGTGGGGTAAGATGTAAGGAGGTTAGACCTCTGGAAGGCCAGCAAGAGCATGGAGAAGAAATAACAAAAGTCAGATTCACCTGACTTCTAATCTGGTCTCCTGGGAACAGAGAATTAGCAGGGAAAAAAATTCTTTTCTGTCCAGACCAGTGGCCCAGAGGGAAACAAGGTGCTCCAGCGTGGGACTAACAATGGAAACAGCGCCTAATGAGCAGACACAGGGAGCTGTAAATATCTCCTCTGCCGTCCTAACCATGGTGCTCCTTGTGCAGGACAGGACATGGTTGTTGCTCTCAGATTCCTAAGTCTGGCTGGGGGACCCATGCTTCACTCCTTCCTGCTGTCCTGTCTGGGAACAGAGCCTTGGTTTCCATCATCGACCATCAAGGGGGAATTTCAGTCCTCCACACAGAGACACTCCTCTTGTAGACCCCATCCAGGTGAGTCTGAGAGCTCAGCAGGTATTTCAGGAAAGGATCAGAAAGAATGGAACTTGAGAACCTTTTCTTGAGGTCACCTTAGAGCCTAAGCAGCCTGGCCCAGAGTCAAGAGATACCATGTTTGTTTGTTAGGTTGACTTTTAAAAATTTGAACACAATTTACTTAACACATTTTTTAAAAGAAGTGTTTGTTGGACTCAGCAATACAAGGATCACTGGTGATGCTGAGCGGTGGGAATGGAAGTCCAATTGGATGGGACTGAAGAAGGAAAAGGGGGCAGGTGCGTCAAGAGGTTCCAGTGAAATTAGCACGTATCCACGGAGTTTTGCAGCTAACGGGAGTAGGGAAACAGAGTAGGAGGCTTGGAGATATGAGCAGCGGGATGGGAGCATTTTACACTTTTTTTCATTTGGGGTACATTTAACTTGTTCTTTATCTCTTAGAAGGATCCAGCCTCCTGAAGGTAAATACTCCCTTGCGACAGTGGTTTTTGAGACACACATTTCAAGTATCGTCTCTCTCTTTGGTATTTACCAGAAAGAAATGATAGACTTAGTATGACTGAAGGGATATGCCAAGGAGCATTTTGGCCACAATTTTATTACCAAGGAGGCTGAATAGGTTTTAGACTTTGTTAGCCACTTACTTCCTATATGCAAATTTTTTGGTAAGTATGTTGCTTTTCTGTACTGGGAACTGAGTGTTTTTATTGTTGTTTTATTGCATTCTTTCAAAAAACAATTGCAATCTTTCACCAAGTTTGCTGTTTGCCACTTAATATTTCTGTTGTGTGTAGATGTGTTTATGGGATTGAGAGAGAGTCTAGACGTAGTGTGTGCTCAAATCTCTCAGTTGGTCATATCGTGTTCCCCTCATTGTTTTTAAACATCGAAATTCTTCCACATCCTTACTAGTAAGAAGTGCTTTTCCATATATTGCTGTGTTATGTCACAGCTGACTTTCCTTATTTCTGCCATTTTATATTTTGAAGTTAGATCTGTTTTTTAAAATAGGAATCACCTCCTGTCCTTATGTGCAACATGTTCTTTTGTATTTAACTAAAGATTCCCTACATCTTTTCCATCAGCATGATTGAGTCCATTTATGGTTGCAAAAATAAAATTATAGCTTTAGCTACTGCTTCCTCCACTGTATGTTAAAAACTATATTTTCCCATCATTTATTTCCAAGCTTTTACCCATTTCGTCCTGAATCAGAGACCCATGTGGATATGATTATTGCTCTTTTACATCTTTTCTGTAAGACATTAGTGTTGGATCGTTGTTCAATTTTGTTTAATACAGTTACTAGAATCCATCGTGTTTAACACAATTTTCGTTTCCCTACTGTACTTTTTTAATACATTCTCATGTTCTTAGAACTTGTTTCTGTATGAATGCACACCTTTGTGACCAAAAAATGCAAACAAAGCAGGTGAGGCCCCTGCTCCTTTGGGTCCTAAATTATACTGGAGAAGAGAGCAAAGAAATAAGTGCTTATATGACATAGGGTCTTCAAGGATAACTCGTAGAAAGAAAGGGGGTAGATGGTCACGGAACGTGAATTATTTTGCACAGTACAGTCTGGGAAGGTTTCTGCATGTCAGACAAGGAACAGAGTAACGGGACTGGAGTGTTCCCACTGGATGTGGCAAAACAAAGATCAAACCCCAGAGCCCGAGATAACAAAGGAAAGAATACCACCAAGGAAAGTGAGGAAAGGGTCAGCCACATCCACTGTTGGGCCACATAAAAAGAGGCGTGGTCAAGTAGACAGGGAATAGGTACATTAATAACAATCAGGTCAGGGGCCCAAGGTGGACACCATGATGAGGCAAGTGGAGCCATCAGCCCAGGCTCCCTGGAGTCTGACTTAACATCAGCACCCACACTCACTACATTTTCTCTCGGCAACCAGGCTCCTATAATGGACTCGCCATTCACACTGCTTTTTGCCCACATGAGCAGGCAACGGTCTTCTGTTAAAACTATTTTTCCCATTATACCAGTGGATTCCATTTTTTGTACTGTCCACAGGAAACATGCCTTTGACATTATGATCCAGAATGTGTGCACATGCAAATACACAAATCCACATGGATGCTCCACGTGTGTGCACACACACACACACACACACACACACACACACACAGCTAAACAAACAGAATGACCTCTCATAAACTAACAGGAAGGATCTATGCTGAGCTTTTTATATATATTCACCTAATCTGCCGACCACCTTGGAGGGTGGATACCACTGCCCCCACTATACTAGTGAGAATATTAACATTTTAGAACGATTTGCTTGTCTTCCCAAATTCAAACAGTTAACATTTTTTGGTGGGTCTAAAATTCAAAGCTCATTAACTGATCCCAAAGTTGTCCAAAGTTGTGTGTGTTTATCATATAGAAAAACCTGTTACCATTTGATCTTGATAAATCCCCGCTATTTTTGTATGCTGTATATTTGCTTTTGTCAGTTGGGGATTTATTCCTTTTACTCATATTTCCAGTGGGTGTTTATACTTTATGTGTCTTGACATGATAAATACAGCACTCTTTTCTCTTGGAGAAATTGTATTTTGTTGCTTTATTAGTCATACTGGGCATATGGGGGTAAACCTAGGATTGGAATGCAACCAGAAGCAGGGAAGCTTTCTTATCATCACGATCTCTCAGGGACCACCTGGGCTTATGAGATCTTTCTCCCTGCTCCTCCTTTGCTCTGTCTCCTTCTGAGTTTTTTATACTTCTCTAAATGCAGAAGAGAAGAATGGTCATATTAAAATGGAGCACCGTGTTTTCATGTTCACAGGAATCTTACCAACTGGAAATTGGGTACTTTTCTATATTCTTTAGGGTAATGACAATTTGACATTGAGAACTTCACCTGTATCATTTCTTTCCTAAATATTGTAACTAGGGGTGAGAAGAACCCGTAGTCACCTGGCCCCAGAAGGCTGTGGTGGGCCAGTGTGGACCCTCAAAATACAGATGCCAGAATGTTAACCATCATTGGAAGTAAGAAGGAGATCTATTTTTATTTGCAGGATTCCTTAGGGACAAAATTAATGAAGTGCAAGGAACACTAGGCAAAGGAAGGGCTCCCTGTGTCGTGAAGTTTCAGCTGTAGCAGGAGGCCACCTCGTTCCTCAACAGTCCCTGCCATCACCTCTCTCTTACTCGTTTCCTGACCACACTGCCTCCATTTTTATACCTGGGTACCCGAAACAAATGCCTTCCTCAGGGCCTTTGAACTGGCTTTTCTTCCTGCAGAGCCCACACTTCCCCAGATAACCTCATGTCTTCTGTGCACATATCCCAGAAGTCTCTCTTCAAATGTCACCTTGCTTTTAGGTCTTCCTGAACCCCCCCGTAAAGATAATAGCCCAACCATTTTCTTTTATGCCTGCTTTCCCCCCACACACACACATCATTGTAATTATAGCATTTCTGCCATGTTACTAGTGCCCATCTGTGCTAATATTAATCTTTTTTTTTTCTAATTTTTAGTCACCACCACCACCACATGGCACCAGGCAATGATACCCAAATTTCAGAATTCCTTCTTCTGGGATTATCAGATGAACCAGAACTGCAGCCCCTCATATTTGGGCTTTTCCTCTCCATGTACCTGATCATTGTGTTTGGAAACCTGCTCATCGTCCTAGCTGTCAGCTCTGACTCCCACCTCCACACACCCATGTACTTCTTCCTGGCCAACCTGTCCTTTGTGGACATCTGCTTCACCTCTACTGTCATCCCAAAGATGCTCTGGAACATCCAGACTCAGAGCAAAGTCATAACCTATGCAGGCTGCATCACGCAGATGTACTTTTTCCTACTCTTTGTAGAATTAGACATCTTTCTCCTGACTGTGATGGCTTATGACCGCTTTGTGGCCATCTGTCACCCCCTGAACTACATGGTCATCATGAACCCCCGGCTCTGTGGACTGCTGGTTCTGGTGTCCTGGATCATGTGTGCCCTGAATTCCTTGTTAGAAAGCTTAATGGTATTGCGGCTGTCCTTCTGTACAGTCTTGGAAATCCCCCACTTTTTCTGTGAACTCAATCAGATGATCCAACTTGCCTGTTCTGACACTTTTCTCAATAACATGGTGATATATTCTGGAATTATGCTGCTGGCTGGTGGTCCCTTTGTTGGGATCCTTTACTCTTACTCTAAGATAGTTTCCTCCATACGTGGGATCTCATCAGCTCAGGGCAAGTATAAAGCATTTTCCACCTGTGTGTCTCACCTCTCAGTTGTCTCTCTATTTTATTGTACTGGCCTGGGAGTGTACCTTAGCTCGGCTGCTACCCCGAACTCCCACTCAAGTGCCACAGCCTCAGTGGTGTATACAGTGGTCACACCCATGCTGAACCCCTTCATCTACAGCCTGAGGAACAAAGACATGAAGGGGGCTCTGATGCGGAGAAAGGGGAACACTTTTGCAGTGTTGGTGGGAATGCAAACTGTTTTCCACTCTGGAAAACAGGATGGAGGTTCCTCAAGAAATTAAAAACAGAACTACCCAACGATCCAGCAATTGCACTACTAGGTATTTATCCAAAGGACACAAAAATGCTGACTCGAGGGGGCACACACACCTCCATGTTTTTAGCAGCACTATCAAAAATAGCCAAATTAGGGAAGGAGACTAAATTTCCCTTGACTGATGAATGGATAAAGAAGATGTGGTGTGGGGCGCCTGGGTGGCGCAGTCGGTTAAGCGTCCGACTTCAGCCAGGTCACGATCTCGCGGTCCATGAGTTCGAGCCCCGCGTCGGGCTCTGGGCTGATGGCTCAGAGCCTGGAGCCTGTTTCCGATTCTGTGTCTCCCTCTCTCTCTGCCCCTCCCCCGTTCATGCTCTGTCTCTCTCTGTCCCAAAAATAAATAAAGGTTGAAAAAAAAATTTTTTTTTAATAAAAAAATAAAAAATAAAAATAAAAAAAATAAAAAAAAAGAAGATGTGGTGTATATATATAATGGAATATTTCTCGGTGATCAAATAAATGAAATCTTGCCATTTGCCATTTGTGGATGGAAGTAGAGTGTATTACGCTAAATAAGTCAGCCAGAGAAAGACAAGTATGTGATTTTGCTCATGTGGAATTTAAGAAACACAACAGATGCACATAGGTCAAGAGATAGAAAAATAAAACAAGATAAAAACAGAGAGAGATAAAAACAGAGTGTGATGAGCACTGGGTATTACATGTAAGTGGTGAATCATTGGGTTCTACTCCTGAACCAATACTACACCAAACGTTAACTAACATGGATTTCAATAAAAAAACAAAAAGCAAACTGGGTTCAAAATCCCTTATTACTCTTTTCAGATACTGAGGTGACTTTTTATAAGAACAGAATTTTCTGGAATAAGAACCGTAAGTTGCAAGTTCATGAGAGATCTGGTTGTATTAAATTATTTATCACACACCTGCCTTAATAAAAGGTGAAATGTTAAAAAAAAGATTGTAGACTATGTGGCTCCATTTGTGTATAATTCAAGAAGATGCACACTAAGCTTTAATTTCTCTGTTATATTATTGTGAAGATGTAATCCAACTGAGCCTCCATATCCTTATTTCTGAAGGTAATGTGGGGTAATGAGCCCTAACTCCAGACAGATGGTGTGAGGAATAAATGAAAGGCATAGAGCACTTTGTTGGATCTGAAGAAAATATTCAAGGTTAAGCGTGTGGTATGTATATGTGTGTGTTTGTTTATGTCCATCTTTCTCTCAAGTAAACACATTAATATGCATACATGTAGATGCACAGAGGACTTACTAAAATCCCACCTATTATGTTGAAAGAAAATGTTAAATATGGCGGAGGGGGGTGGGGAGGATCGTAATGAAAAGAATAAACATTCAAGTCAACTAGAAAGAATAGAATTTTGACACAAAGACTTAAAATGGAACAGGTGATCTCAATTTTAAAAAGAAATTGTCTTTTATATATACAATGGAATACTACTTGGCAATGAGAAAGAATGAAATATGGCCATTTGTAGCAACATGGATAGAACTGGAGAGTGTGATGCTAAGTGAAATAAGTCATACAGAGAAAGACAGACACCATATGTTTTCACTCTTATGTGGATCCTGAGAAACTTAACAGAAGACCATGGGGCAGGGGAAGGGAAAAAAAAGGTTAGAGAGGGAGGGAGGCAAATCATAAGAGACTCTTAAAAACTGAGAACAATCTGAGGGTGGATGGGGG